AGTCACTGCTTCATTCAGCACACTAGGCCCGTGGTGAGCAAACTGCGGCTCTCGAGCCACATGCGGCTCTTTGGCCCCTTAAGTGTGGCTCTTCCACAAAATACCACAGCCTGGGCAAGTCTATTTTGAAGGTGTCAGAAGAAGTTTAAGTTTAAAAAATTTGGCTCTCAAAAGAAATTGCAATCGTTGTGCTGTTGACATTTGGCTCTGTGGACTGATGAGTTGGCTGACCACTGCACTAGTCAACGATGCTGAGCACTGCGGGGACCAGGGAGGAGCCAGGCATCCTTCCCACCCCGGGAGCTCTCGGCTTTTTCTTCCCGGCCTGCTGCGCCCCCCCTCCAACCCCCCTCTCAAGTCCTCATGATGCAATCATGTCTTTAAAGGCCAAGTGTCCCCTCCTCAGGAAGTCTGTTAGCTGCATTCTCCCTCCTCGGGACCCTGGGGTGCTCTGGTCTCTCTCACATGTGTGTCTCCCTTTTTCTGGGTACACTTAAAATATATATATATATATATATATATATATATATATATATATATACACACACACACACACACACACACACACACACACACACACATATAATTGATTTCAGAGAGGGAGACAGAGAAACATCAATGATGAGAATCACTGACTGGCTGCCTCCGGTATGCCCCTGACTGGGATCAAGCCTGCAGCCCCGGGCATGTGCCCTGCCCGGGAACTGAGCCGTGATGACCTCCAGTTCATTGGTGGGTACTCAACCCCTGAGCCAGGCCCGCCGGGCCTGTGCACACTCTTCACCTGTCCTCCAACCAAGCTGTGAGAGGCTTGAGGACTGAGGCAGCTTTCTTTCTCCCCCAGGTCCCGAGTACGCTAGTGCTCCATAAATGGACGAAGGAAGGAATGACTTTCAAGAACCCGGGTCATCTTCAACCTCTGGCCTGTTCCTTATCTGAGCAGCAAGCCCACTGTGGCCTGTCCCAGGCTGGCTGCCGGTCACATGCTCGTCACGGGCCCTCTGCACGGTGGTGAGGTCATGGCCCGGCAGGCTGCCCGGGCTGCGGGTGTGACTGCCGTCAGAGAGCCCAGGTCTGGCAGCCCCCGGGGCCCGGCAGGCTCACCGAAGGCTCCGAGACGCGGTGCTCACCAGGTGCGGGAGCCGCCCCGAGCCGGCCTCCCTCGTGGGCTCTGCTCGGCCCTCGGGGACACCGACAGCCGCGTGGGTCCCTGGTGGGTCGGCCGGCGGAATGGGCTGGGACAGGGGTGCCCCGGCCCATTCAGGGGCCTCCCTCCCACTCTCCGCGTTGCTGTCTCGGTGCCCAGGAAGCAGGCTGGGAAGGGAAAGACCTCTTCCTGTCAACAAGGACTTTCCGCTGCGACCCGACCCCCGGCCCCGGGGGGAGTCACCCAGGGCAACAACCCCTCCAGCCTGCGGAAGAGGCGGCGCTGCTTTGAGGACCCAGCTCCACCAGACGCCTCAGTGGGAGGGGGTGTGGTCTTCCAGCGAAAGAGGGCTCAGAACCGCTCCCTGACCCCCCAGAGGGGGTGGTCTCCAAAGCCCCCTCTCCCCCGGGGCCCTCGGTTTGACCTGCAGGCCACACTGGACTGATGTTCTTAAAATGACCTTACACGCAGCTCCCACCGCATCAGTTTGCTTCGGGTCTTTGGAGGCTCCTCTCTGACTCTGGAGGCAAGTCCAAATGCTTTAGTGTGGCCCCGGCCCCCCCTTTGAACTCTATGCCCTCCATGCCCCTCACGCCCTGCGCCCCAACCAGGGTGCCCAGGCCGCCTCCATTTCCTGTCACCCCCTATGCCGGAATGCCTTTTCCTTCCAGTGAACCCCCTTTCCATTCTCACATCATCCATCCACCTATTCAAATATCTGCCGAGCACCTTCACATGCCGAGCTCTGGGCCAAGAGCCGAGGTTTCTGCTGCCAACAAGTTGGACAAGGCAAGGGCCCACAGACATGCCAGGCCTGTGCAGGGGGCAGAGACATACACGGGCCCTGCAGAGGAGCGAGGTGAGCTCCACAGAGGGCGTGCTGGAGGAGGTGGCCGCTGGCTTCTTGACGAGGAGTTAGGTGGGCCAGGGGAGCAGGGAGAGGAGGGGCGGCAGGAGGCTGGGACCTGTGGAAGCGGAACGTAAAGGCCCGAGCAGGGGACAGGGCCTCCTAGGACTGAATGCTGGTCACAAAGTCTGGACGGGTGTGCGGGGAGTGGCCAGAGGAGAGGCAGCAGCACGCGCAGTCTGTGCCCCGTCCTCAGAGCCGCTGGAGACCCAGGCAAGCGTCGGCAGAGGCTCGCAGGGAGCTGACCGCGCCTGGACGGTGCAGTGACTGGGCGTGGCCCGGACGGCAGGAGGGCCAGCGGCAGGCCCGGTCCGGGAAGGGGCGTTTGTGTGCTCTGGGCAGGAGCAGTGTTGGCTTAGTCCAGGGATGGCCGGGGAGCTGAGGCAAAGGGGGAGGGTTTGGAGCTCTTTCCAGCCAATAGGGCTCGGCGATTGCTCAGGCACTGGGGGGGGGGGGGGGGGGGGGGGGAGTCCAGGTGGCCCCCAGGTTTCTAAGGGGGTGGTCAGGGGGCCCTTTTGCTGAGAGGGGCAGGTGTGTGTGGTGGTGGGGGGGTGATGTGCTCAGTGTGAGCTCGGGAGGGGCCGTCGGGGACCGCTGTGAGTGTGCCCCGGGCGGTGGCCAGGCTAGATCTGTGCTGCGAGGTCTGTGCTGGGCGGACCTGGGGCCCCGCTCTATATGGCCACTGACCTGGGAAGGGTGAGCGTGCCCTCCTCCGGGAGCCTGCCCTGCTCCCCGCTCCCTGCGCCGGCCCTTGCCTCCCTGACAGCACAGCTGCTGGAGCTTTTTAGCTTTTCTCGAAGAATAAACTCTGTGAGTTTCCAACACAGATTAATGCTAACAACCCGGATCAGATCCTGTCACTCCCCTGCTCAAAGCCATTAGTGAGACTGACCAGAGAATGTCCAGAGGCCAGCAGTGTCCTCAGGACAGGATGGGAACTGGCCCCCACAGAGAGGCGGCGGCAGAGACGTTTGAAAAGGGGGACTTAGTGGGACTTGAGCGGCTGGGTGTGGGCTGAGGGAGAAAGGGGAGGCGAAGCTGTTCCCAGCTCACCAGCCTGACAGTTCAGATTAGAGGGCGAGGAGGAGCAGGCTGGGGAGGAAGAAAATGGGGCAAGTTTTGGACCCACTGAGTGTGTGGGGGTGCCCGCACACCCCTCGCTGGAGGCTTCCAGGACATCACAGGACTCTGGGACCTGAGGCTGGGTCAGGTTATTTGTGAGGCAGCCCCACCCTCACCCCTCACCCTCAAGCTCCTGTCTCACCTCAGGGCCTTTGCACATGCTCTCTCCTCCACCCAAAACTCTCTCCCCTCCGACCTTCACGGGGCTCAGGCCCTCAAATAACTGGGGAGTTCATCTGGAGTCGTGCCTGACCCCATCGTGCTAACTGCCTACTTGGCCTTAATTTGCATCAGAGCATTTACCACCAGCCAGCGTTCTATCATCGAGCTGTTTGTTTTTCTGCTTCCACCACAGGAATGTGTCTTCCTCCAGGACAGTGGTTCAGTCTGTCTGCTTCACCTTCCCCGAGAAGGCCCCAGAGGAGTGCTCAGAGAGGGCACGTGGTGAGCGCTGGGAACGGATGACTCACGGGGAGAGGGTGGCATTGCTGGGCCAGCAACAGTGGCAGGAGGCGTGTCTCAGTGGAACCAGAGCCACCGACAGGGCAGGAGGAGAAGGGTCTGGGGCAGAACTTGGGGGCTGCAGCATCAACGTTGCAGGCAGGGGCGGGGAGAGGCCAGTGGAGCATGGACCTCGTACAAGTATTTGTGTTTGCACCTCATACGGGAGCTCAGGTAGAGGGACAGTGCCAGGGTGCCAGGGAGCTGTGAGTTGTGGGACGGAAAACACAGAATGCTCTGGCAAAGTCCCTAGGAGGCCCTGGTGGCAGCTTCTGTGCAGGGTGGGGACAGACTCCAGGCCCAGAGGGAGTGGCCCTGTGATTGGAAGGGGAGCTGAGACTGTGTGCCAGGCCCAGGGGTGATCACTGGGGTGGGCACGGACGGCAGGTGAGTTGTGCAATGGATGAGGACCTGCTGTCTGACCTGCTCTCCTGGCCTGGCCTTGGCAGTGAACTTCCAACACAAAGTAATCTCAACAGCCTAACTCAGATCACGTCACTCCCCTGCTCAGACCCATTAGTTAGGCTAAAACCCGTGTCCTCAGTCTGATAAACAAGGCCCTGCAGGCCGACCCTGCCTTCTGGTCTGACCCCGCTCCCCACGCCCCGCCCTGCTCGCTCCTTCCAGCCGAACAGGCTCCGCTGGTGGTGGAGCCAAAGGCCTCCCTGCCTCCTGGCACTGGCACAGCGCTCCTTGCCTGGCAGCTGTCCCCCGGATCGGCACCTGGCCCTCCCCTTCCCACAGCCAGGTCTCGGCCGTCACCCCCTTAGAGGCGTTTCCCGTCCCTCTAAGGGACTCAGCCCACCCGTTGCCTTACCTGCTGTTTTCCTGAAAGGCGATAAGTTATATTTATAATATACCGCATGCGGACTCCTGTCTGTGAGTGTGGTGGTGCCGGCAGTGTGACCCAGGACAGGAATGCTGGGCTCAGAGCCGCACAGCCACGGAGGAGGCGTCTGTAAACACTGTGCTGAGGAGGTTTGGTAACCGAGTGATCGGATCTGTAAAGCCAGTCTGCAGAGAGCCCTTATGTACATACAACGGCTCTTCACAGTGGCCTTGCCAAGGGCACCCTCAGCTCACACAGAGCCGGCCTAGGATGGGAGCAGCAGCCCAGGCAGATGCGCACAGACCACACCCCACGCCCATCTCGCTGAGACCCTGCGGACCCTCTACACTCAGAGCAAACCCAGACCCTCCCTCCCTTCCTCCTGGTCCAAGTGGGAGAGGAGAAGACCGGAGAGAAGTCAGGTGTGCCAGGGAGGAAGGCTGGGAGGGAGGAGGAAGAGGAAGCTTGAGGAGCCAGGGCCGAGGGTGGGGCACCCTCTTCTAGGTCTAGAGCCTGGAAGGGGCACCTTGGATCTCAATGGTCCACTTCCTTCTCCAGGGGACAGAGACTTGCCTTGGGAGGAGGTGCCCTTGATCATGAAGCCTGACCTTCTGGTACTTTCTCCCTTCTGGCACCCCCCCCCCCCCCCCCCCCGCCAAGTTTCTGGGAATTCCCCACTTCCTGGTAGGAAAGTCAAGCCCTGGCGGGATTTTCCTCACCCCAGGAATCTAGGACACTTTCCAGCTTTTTCCTTAGCTTCACCCCCTGCACTCTGCCCCAGGGGTGGACGCCCTCTCTGCACATCTCCCCGACACGGGAGCAGGTCCCGTCCTCTCCTGGAGGTGGCTGACCCAGGGGCTGACGCCACTGTGAGCACACAGCCTTCCGAAGCAGCGGGAGGAGTTCCCACTGTGTCCCAGCCCCGCCCCCCTTCTCCAGCGAGCTCCTGACCGCCTCTGCTGGGGAAGCGTCCCTTGTCCCTTCCCTGCCTGGCCTCGTGCGGGGAGAGTGGCTCCAGGCTGGGCTGGGAGGTCTTGGTCAGTCGGCCAGCCCGGCCAGGGGGCCGTGGGGATTGCAGTGACACTGGATCTGGGTCTCGGCAGCAGTCACATGGACCGTGAGCACTGTCTGGGCTGAGCCATGTCCGGGCCAGCTGCTGGCTCACAGTCCCCGGAGAACCTGCTCATCCCAGCATCCCGCTCTAATTCATTTCAGCGACTACTGCCTGGCCAGCCCAGCCCGAGGCACAGGAAGGGACGGGAGCGAAGCACAGCAGACACAGCTCCCCAACACACACACGGGGTGCTTTGGTCCCGTGCTCTGGGGGGGGGTCGGGGTGGACTCAGAGATAAATTAAGCATCTTTCGGAGCTCAACAAACTTGGATCCTAGCAGGGGAGACAGACACGGTCTGGAAACTGCATGGTGGCATTACCTGGTCCTTCTCCGCCTTGGCAGGGGCCATGAATCGGTCACGCTTTGTCATCACCTGTCAGCACCCCCCATCCCCACCCCCCACCCCAGAACATGAGCACCTGGAGGGCAGGGACTGGTCGGCTCTCTTTGCATCCTCAGCATCTCACACAGCTGATCATGTTTGCAGAAGATGTTACACGAACGACTTCTAAACAGTTACCTGTTATTATGAGACTGCAGACACACACTAAAAGGAGATCTCAGAGGTGCTGGCGATCTCACGCCTCGTTGTAGGTAAAGGGCTGGCTCATTCTAAGCGGGAGGGTCGGGGAAGGCACCAGGGAAAGGGCATGGGGGCAGCCACGCCCTCCAGGCCGCCAGTGCACAGCAGAACAGCATCCAGCGGAGGGGACAGCAGATGTGAAGTCTCAGAGGCCGGAAAGGACATGGCTTGTCACAGCCCACGCAGCCCGTGGAGGGAGGGAGGGAGGGAGGGAAGATGTGGGGGGCAAGGACCCCGGGCCAGGCCAAGAGCAATGGTGAATACCACTCTAAGGGGTTTGACCTTTGCTCTGCGGACAGATCCCTGGGAAACGGGGGATGGCATCACGTGAGCTCGGCGGTGTTCCCGGGAGACGTCAGGAATGGTTGTGTGCAGGGTCTATGTCGAGAGGGCATGACCAGGCGTGCCCTTTGCTTGGCCCTGGCTTCGTAGGAAGTTGGAGAACCGGGGAGAGTCAGGGCTGGGTGGGGAGGGCATGAGTGGAGACATCACTTAGAAAGCCACTGTCACGTTAGCAAGCAGATGACAACAGTATGAATCAGAACAGGGACAGCAGGAAGAGGAAGATGCAGCAGTGATGACCCATCAGATGGAGAAAGTGAGGCTGCAATTTCCAGCCAGAGGGGCTGGAAGCACACAGAGAAGGGGCAGGCTGTGGGGCTGGGGAGGACATGAGGCACACCCTGCTGGTAGGCGGTCCTCTCTTCCAAAGCGAGCGGATGATGGCGATGGATGCCTCCAGCTTAGGAGGACTCAGAGGACTGACTGGGCTGCGTCCAAAGCTTACACACAATCCCTTTCTACAATGGAAATACTCACAGTCCCTCCCAGTCCTCCCCCCCCCCCCCGCCTCCCTTCCTCCCACCCACCACCCTAGCAACCCATGTGGCCTGACAAACAGGGAGGCGTTGCCAGGAGAGGTAAGATGTGTGGAGGACACCACGGATGACTTCAGTGTCCATGAGTGACGGAGCCCACACCCTGGCCTCTCTGTTCTGCTGGCCCAGCTCGGAACCTTCTGTGTCCTGGCCACCCACTCCCATCGCCACTCCCCAGACGTAGTCACCAGCCAGCACTCCCCACCTCTGAAATCACTAACTCTGACCTCCTTCTCTCCTCTCTGCATATTCACCCCATCACTTCGCCTACACCTGTCCACAGACCCCTCTACTGTCTCCCAACCCAGCAACCCCCTTCTTTCTCCACACCCATCTCTCTCACAGCATAGATTGCACAACTCAGAACTGCACTCCTTCTCCCCCATGACGTAGCCCCTAGTAGAAACCCCACTGCGCATGAGCCAGCTCGAAGCTGCCCAGATCCACCATCACTGGTGGTGGCCCAGCTCGCCTCGATCCTCGACGCTGCCTGCTCTGTTTTCCCTAGTCAACACCTGTTCAGGTCCTTGTGCATCTACTTCTGAAAGCCTTATCCCCGTCCTCAAACCCTCAACATATTCCCTTCCATCTTACTTCTCAGCAGATGAAGCCAGCCCCCTTCAGGGATAAAATATGAGCCCGGAGGCAGGAGATCTGCCCATTTCCTGCCTCTCCTCCCACCCACCTGCCTGGACCCCCCTTTCCACTCTGCCTCCTGTTTAATGGGAGTCCACCTGCTCTCCCCACTGGTATTCTGGATGCCAGCCCTTGCTGCCATCCCAGGGACCTCGCTGTCCCCTTTTCCTTCAACTTCTCCTCTTCTGTTCAACATGTAAACAAGGTCAAGTATCTAATAGTCCATCAGCCTTCCCTTGATTCTACCCCTTCCTCCCACTACCACTTCCTCTTTCCTAAGAAAACATCTCGAACCCTACCTTTGCCCCTCAACGCAAGGTGACGTGTTTTCCCCCATCACAAAACCGACCGGAGCTGCTGCCACTGAGGACTTCTCCATACACCCAGCGAATGTGTCCCACCCTTGGGTGGTTGATTTTTCTGCTGTGGGTCGTTTTTTTTTTCTACTGTTGAAGTTCTTTAGCTTCTCACTCTCCTGTTTTTCCTCCTCCTTTCTCCTGGACCCAAACCCTAAATACTGGAGTTCATCAGACTCCGTCCTAGGCCTTATGTCCTCTCTCTTTTGACCCTGAACCCCCTTATGCTTCTGGCACTTCAAGTGGGGCTCTCTGCTGACAACTGTCAATCATACACCTCTACCTCTGTCTAGACCTTGCTCTTGAGCTTCCAGGCCATGTATACAAACTGCCTGTGGAGTTCAGATTTAGCAAATTAAAAATACAGGTGCCAGTTCAATTTGAACGATGATGAAAAGAAATTGAGTATGAATATTTCCCATATAATCTTTAGGACAGATTCATGCTGTAAAAAAGGTATTTGTTGTTTAACCTGAAATTCGAATTTAACAGGGCATCTTCTTTTATCAGGCAACCCTGCGTGACTGTGACATCTTCATTTGAGGCCCCACAGGCACCCCCACTTAATATATTCACAGCGGAACTTCCCATGGGACCACTTGGCCGTACACGGGGTTATGCAAATGAAAAAGGCAAAATTGTCTTTGGCTCCTCTGCTCTCCTTTAACTCCGGAATCCTCCTAAATATCCCTGAAATCGGACCACTCCTCTTCAGTGACAGCATCACCCTAGTCCAGGCCACCGTCGCCTTTACCCACCACAGTGTCCTTCCCTCTGATCCCTACTAGACTGCCACAGAGCAGCCCAAATATCTTATTGAAATGTACATTTCATCATGGCTCTCACAGGTTTAAAGGTTAAAGCTTGAAATCCATGCCCCCTCCCCTCCATGATGTGGCCTCTTTGTGGGCCACTTTATCAACATTCTGCTGTCACTCTGAGCTTCCTCTTGCCGTGGGCCGTTCCACATGCTGTTCCCTCCACCTGGGATGATCTCCTTTGAGCTCTCAGTGATCATTAGTCTCAGCTCCTGTCCTCCACTCCTCCTTGGGCCCATGTTTCTCTTTTGGGACAGTTATCACTCTCTCATCACCTGCTGGATGCCCAGTCCTTAGCCTGTGAGCTCTCTGAGAGCAGGACCCTGTCTGTCGTCTCCACTGTATCCTGAGCCCCTAATAAGCCCCTGGTCCGGAGAAGGAGCTCAAGTAATATTCAGGGATGAATGGGAGAGTAGCTTTTCTCCTCATTCAGCCTGGGAGGTCTCAGCACAGAGCACTCTCCAGAACCGGAATTTTTTCCAGATGGATTTAGTGTTTACACACCACCATGTCCCTCGTTGGGTGTCTCAGTCCTCCAGTCCTCAGTCCTGAGCATCAGGAACTCAGACCTGTCAGGGTTGTCTCAACCCTGCGTGTTGAAGGGGGAAGCAGAAGGCAGAGTGGCCAGAGAGGAGAGGGAGAGGGTGGGCAGCCTCCTACAGGATGGTGGCGGCCGATGTGGGTGAACCGAGGCCAAGACCAGGACAGCCTTGTGTTCAGGCCCAGCTCCTGAAGTGTGGCCTCCAGCTCGGCTCTCCCACGTCCCATGGCAGCTTCCGATGGTGGACGGTGAGCTGGGGGTTATGAGGGCTCCCAAGGGCACCTGTCCAGCAGGCCCTTACAAATGAAGGCCTGGAACGGAAGGAGAGCTCAGGGCTGTAGTCACCAACAAGCAGGTGAACATCCAAGCTGCCTGAACAGGGAGGGGGCCCCCCGGAAGACCACGGGATGTCAAGGAGAAGAGACCAACGAGAATTTGGGGTCACCTGGCTTAAGGGATTCAGGAAGGAGAGTGAGCTACACAAAGAAGTGGACAAAGAGGAAGTGGGCCGGTAGACGGAGAACCAGGAAGGTGCCGAGGCCGGAAGCCCAGGGGTAACGTTGAAGAAGCACAAGGGTTGAGCAACCGTCAGCTGCCCAGGAGGGTGAGCTCTGAAAAGTGGAAGCGAGGGTCGGAAAATGAGACGTCAGTGTGACCTCTGAAAAGAAATATGAGCGCATCTCTCTGGTCCTAGCTCCTCCTACCTTCACTCCACCCACCCGTTTCTACAAGTGTGAGAACTGTTTATGATTTCGGAAACAGTCAGGGGGAGAAAGAAAGTCAATCCCAGGCAAGCAAGGTCTTCGCCAGTCTGTAATTAGTGTCCCATCTCCAGAGCCTGGGACCACTGCTGAGGAAGGTGGGGGATGGTCCCCACACTTCAGAGGCGTGGTGTCTACTGTAGGTTTCCCAGCACCACTGCCAGGACAGGGGCTGCCTGGATGACCCCTTGTATTAAGAGGTTCCTGCAGTCCTTCTCTGTGCCCCTCCTGGCCACCACCCAGTCTTCTGTCTCCGGCCTCCCCCTTCTTGGATCCCCAGAACCTGCCTGCAGAGGGGGCCACACTCTCCCGACTTCTTTTTATTTTAATATACTTTTTATTGCTGATAGTATTACAGATATTTCCCATTTTCCTCCCCTTTACTCTCCTCCTCCCAGTCCCACACCCCCAACCCCTCCAGGTCTACCCTATTGCCCATGCCCTATGTCCATGGCTATGCACATAATTATCAAAGTTTCTTGGTTTATTTCTTCTTGTCCCACATCGAGGTATGTCAGCCTATTCCATAGCTCCATGCTTCAGGTATCATTTTGTTTCTCCCTAGTTCTC